TGCTGGGAACCGGGCCCAGCGTCCCATATGGAAATTTACATATGATTTTGAAGATTGAGATACGGGGGCCATTACCCGGCTTTGGCTCAGAAAAAACGAAGCTAAAATGACTATGACAAACTTCAGAATATAAACAGAATTCAGAAAACTGCTCAGAAATCCTCCCCATCCATCCCGTGTACCCCACTCCGGCAAGATTACTGCAGCAGAGCCACCATCTCCGCTGCTGCTATGCCCTATTCCCATCCTACCAGCTAGCCCCCTCACTAGTAGGACGCGTGATATCCCACCATCTCCTTCCCCACTCCCCCTCGTTCTGTTTTAGCTCAAAAAATTGGAGCTACTTTAGGAGATGACTACAACAGACTTCAAGAATCAACAGGACTCAAACTCCAACTCGAAACCCCCCCCCATCAATCCTTTTTTATTTATTTTTTATTTTTTTAAACATGATCTAGCTGCTAGTGATGGTGATACGAGCATCCACCACTAGCAGCTTGGCTACTGGCTCCATTCTATTGGTCAAAGCTGATCTGTGTCCATCATCTTGCCGCATTGCTCAGTCTGGAACCCAGTCTAGAAGCCGAATGTGACCCTTGGTTCTGACTATATTAATGCAGTCATATCTTCAGAGAGTCAAAGGGGGTTCTTCCATGCAGGCTGAGGGGGCTGCAAACCAGAAAAGGAGATCCAGCGGCCTAGCTCAGTTGGTAAGGCTCGCAAGTGGCATTCAGGAGGTCATGGGTTCAATCCCCATTGGCCTCATGTACCTTCCTGGGCAAGCTAGGCACCCGCAACCTAGAGATAGGCCATTGGTCCCCCTGAGTGGTATTGAGCAGATTCTGCTAATGTTCATAGGGGGAGGGGACCGGAGGGGAGGCACAGAGATTGATCCTGTTGGCATGGTCCCTGATGCTACCGGCTGTCCCCTGGCCGGTATCGCCCACCTGCAGGTCCGGAGCAGCCCCCGCATGTTCCCTCGTGAACACGGTTCTGGCCGCTACGGGGTTCCCGTATGACTATAGTTAGGAGTAGTGGTAGGTCCGTAGTGTGAGGTGAACTGAGAGAAGAATGTACCTTACTTTTACCAAAAAAAAAAAAAAAAAAAAAAAAAAAAAAACAGAAAAGGAGTGTGCAGGGCAGAGTGGGCATTAGAGGGACATAGAGCCGAGCTTAAGAAAACTAAGGTTCTCCATCCTGGGGGAGAACCCCAAACCCTAAACCAAAAGATATCAACTTGGATCATGTAAGTGGGATGCTGGACCCCCTTTCCAGCAGGTGAAGCTCCCCACCAATGGGCTGGAGAATTCGGTGCTCGGCCTACTAGGAGCGGATGCTCTTATCACTCGTGATAGTAAGCCAACACCGCCTACTAGGAAAGGCGGGGGGGAAGGGTGGCGCTGCTGTAGGAGGATCCATGTTGGCCCTCGCGTTGTTGATGGATGAGTAGTAGAGTACCTGTGGAACAGCTCGCCTACCATCTTCGCCCGAGCAGAATGCCCGGTTATTATAGTTGTACTTGTTGCAACTTTCAGTCTAGATACAGGGAGAACTACCGCACTTTTCTATTTGGGTGATGACAGAAGTCGCGGAGTTGAACCATTGAGCCATTGATTGGGGTAAAATTGTCTGTAATGATGTAATCAGACTTGTCTCTTTCTTTTTTTTTTTTTTTTTTTTTTTTTTTTTTTTTTGTGAGAATAGCCCTTGCGATATCCCTCTAGCCTGGCGGCGGTAGGAGAACCGTCAGAATTGAGGGCTTATCTGTCGGGCCGCTCCATCTATTGCTGGGGAGCAGCACCTGCTGGAAACCGGGTCCAGCGTCTCATTGATAAATCATGTAACACTGAGATTGCTGTTTGGTGTTTCCTAGGGCTGTGGTCATTATTGTCTCATCCCGGGACTCGTTTGTCCCATGGAGCTGCTAGGGTCACCCTTCCCTTTTTGGAGCCCCCTTATCAATTAACCCAGCCCTATTTGAGCAGCCCCCCTGTTTGACTATTGCTATGTCTGTCCTCTTAAACCCTTTACACCCTATACCCTCTTAAAACCAGTACATAACACGGTTGTAGCCCCATCCATCATGCTAATCAACTTTTATGTGTTCTCCTTCCCCAATGGAGTTCTATCAGACTCCTTCATTGCCAACTTTCAAACCTTAAACCCATAGGGTTTGGTGATCATGACCGTTGTCCTCAGGCCGACGTATGTCTGTCCTTCGGGTCTAGGTTCGTTGCAGCTAAACCCATGTCGGTCCTTCGTGCAGTGGTCGTTGTCTTTATGTTTTCCAGCCACCAGTCCACCATAGTTGTCCCTGCACCTTGCACAGTCTGAGGCGTCGATCCCATTGTTCCTATTGACCCCAGCTGGGAGGGGGGTAAAGGAAGGAAAGGGAAGGGGG